ATGGTGAGAGATGCTTCATCCTGAGGGACCTGCAGTGTATACATGAGGTGATTTGCCTGTGGAGCTGCTGAGTGGCTCAAAAGTGGAAGGCATAGGTTACTGTGGAAGGCAGACTTCAGGACCAGCCCGATATGTAGGCACTTTGAGAACTGGGGCAGTTAGATTTCCAGGGTCTCCGCTGTGTACCGGATATCTGGGCATCCCCTGCCCACCACCTCTTCCCCGCCACCCACCCAGCAGCAGATTAGAGCTCTCTTCTCTGGGGAAACTGAACTGAAATGATGTTGGAAGCAGGCATGGGGGACTGAAAGCGGAATGATGTTGGAAGCAGGCATAGGTGACTGAAAACGGCTGCGGAATTCACGCTGGGACCTCCATGTTGCTCCCCTGCCCTGTCCCAAAGGCCAGCAGCCAGCCCTGTTGCAGCCCCAGCAGTGGACTGGAGGATTCTTGGGAAATCATTTGGCTCCAGAGAAAAATGACCCCAGATACTGAAATGTGTGAATCCTTTAGTGGAAAGCTCAGCACTTTCCCTTCCACATAACTTGGAAGTTTGCCAGTTAATAATTCCTCTCCATATATACAGATCCTCCAACCTGCTTTTACTATTATATTAATATTTCCCTCTTAAATAGGATCAGGCAGCCAAAGATCCGAGTCATATTAGGAAGGCTTTCAACATGAAAGACGGGGGCCCAAACAAACCAGAAAGGAGAAAACTTGCAGAAGGTGGAGATGTTGCAGACAGCAGAGAAACTGCATTTTTTGAAAAAAAAGTTATAGTATATACTATAATAAAGAGCTTCTCAAGAGTGAGAAGCTGTTTTCATGTTGAAAATGAGAACAGCACTTAAGAAAGAAAAACAATTAGAGAAGAATAAAGAAATAATGGAAATTAAAAATGAAATACTTGAATTTAAAAGAATTTGAGGATGTATTTCTCAAAAAATTAGAAAAAAAAAGATGGAGTACAGGAGTAGATGAGAAAAGAAATATGAAAAATTGCAATTCAGTCTAGAAGACTCAACAGTACTGATAATGCAGACACCGAGAACAAAATAAAATGATTCTCTGAACATTATCACAGAAATAATGTAAGAACATTTCATAGCGCTAAAGTGAATTTCCAGATTGAAGGAATATGTTAAGTGTTCATGTTTTGTAAAAGCACCAGTTTAGTAAAATCTTCATGGGGGAATGTCATTTTGAAATTTTGGAACACCAAGGACAAAGAAAAGGTCCTAAAAACTTTCAGAGAAAAATAAACAGGGTATGCACAGAGGAAAGGCTATCATAATAACATCAGAATTCTTAACAGCATCCTTAGAACCTAGAAGATAATGAAGTAATACTTTAAAATCTGACGGGAAAGTTATTCTTAACCAGGATTCTAAATCCAGCTAGACTATCATTCAAAAGTAAGCATAGAATAAAGTCAATTTTCACGATACAAAGACTCAAACAATTTTTTCCTTTTCTTTAAAAGTTATTGGAAGGTTTGATCTCTCATCAGGGAACTAAGATCCCACAAGCTGTGGGGTGTGTCCAAAAAAAAAAAGTTATTGGACTTGTGCTTCATCAGGACAGTTCGGTAAACTAAGAAGGAGGAAGACGTAGAACTTGGGCAACAATATAGCACAAGGGACGCGAGCAGCTGAGTCCTAATGTTGGGGTGGACGGTAGAAGTTTGAAAGAGAGGTCATCATGGGAGAAGATCACCAAATAATCTGATACTTTCATCATCTGCAAGTTAATACTGGAAAGCATCTAATGGATGTGATACAGCTGATGAAGAGATTTAAGGGTAGGTATATAGAAAACAAGATAAGCAAAAACAGCAGTTACTGCCTCTAGAAAAATTAAAGTTATAGGAGAAAGGAAAAATAACCAGGGTCTACAATTTGGCTCTTCAGTATATATAGTATTATATTGTCACAATAATGTAAACACAGTTGGCTCTTGATTTTATTGTTGGGAAGCTAACAGAATAATAAATTCATGTGTTGTATGTCTGTCTGTCATCTGCAATATGTAAAAATGATAGATTAAGAAATTGCAGCTAGGTATTTTACTCAGCAACATGGTGGTAAGTAGTAGAAAGCTACAGTTTGCAATTGATTTCCTGTGAGGAATGTGATCAGGATTGGGGATAGGAAGCTGAAAAGTACAGGTTTTCATTATATCTTACTTTACTTTGGTTAAAAATTAAATTATTTAAAATGTTAGTATTATCACTCTGAAAATGCAAGTAGACATTATAAACTCATTGGAATAGGTGAGATGATGAATACTGCAGGTACATGTATCTAAGCTGTTCCTATCTGTTAAATGAGAGGCAATATCTAACGTGATTTATATTTAAAATAATCATCAAGCAAACTGATGGTGCTAAGCTAGTGGTAAGAGACAAATATATCCAGGAAGGCCAAAGACAAATCAGAGAGACAAATGAGGATGGCTTTCCCGATGGCTCAGCAGGTAAAGAATTCACCTCTGATGCAGGAGACCCAGATTTGATCCCTGGGTTGAGAAAATCCCCTGGAAGAGGAAATGGCAACCCACTCCAGTATTCTCACCTGGAAATTCCCATAGACAGAGGAGCTACAGTCCAAAAGGATTGCAAAAAGTTGGACACGACTGAGTGGCTAAGCACGAACGCATGTGGTATTAAGTGAACTAAATCATTGGTAAGGGTATATTAAATGGATATATTGCATTGGCAGGTGGGTTCTTTACCACTAGTGCCACCTGGGAAGCCTATACTTTTTAAATGCCATCACTTAAAATAGAAACCACATCCAGCACCAATTAAACGTTGACAAAAATTATCTATGTATTTGCCTACAAAAGAAATCTCAATACATTTAAAAAGAAAGAAATTATAGTGACTTCACTTTTTTTTTTTTTTGGCTGCTCCACGCAGATTGCAAATCTTAATTCCCCAACGGGGCACTGAACCTGTGCCCTCAGCACTGCAGTCCTAACCAGTGGAAGTCACAGGGAACTACTGTGACTTCATTTTCTGACCATAATGCAATGCAAATATAAGTTAACAACATAGATAAAGATCCTTCAAGTGAAAACAACACAGCAAACACACCAGATATGCAAAAACTTCCTCAAAAGCAAGTTTTTTGTCAAAGAAATAAAAACCACGAATTGAAATTGTCCGGAAAATAATAGAAACATTTCCATGGTGGAAACTACTGGCTGCCTTCCCAATGTCCATTCTCCTCTCTTTTTACCAACAGAACATTGACTTTGAGAGTGTCAATGACCTGCTTAAAAAAAAAACAAAACCCTATTTCCCAATCCTTTCTTGTAGGTGGGGATGACCATAAGATTAAGTTCTCACCAATAAGGTGCAAGGGATTACTGGTGGGTGAGCCCTCCAAGAAAGCTCTTTAAAAAGGCTGACACATCTGGCCTAATAAACTTGTATGTATGATGCTGGATCAGCTATCTTGTAATTATAAGTTGTCTAATACATGCTAAAAGTAGATGAGTAGAAAGATAAAAGAAGTATTCCTTAGAAATATCCTGGCATCTATTCCAGCTCTGAACTTCCTATCTCTGGGGGGGGGGGGGGGGAATATCCTAATTCTTAAGTTGCTATTTGGGGGTCTGTTCATTAGGAACCAACATTTTTCCTGATATAGTCACATATCAAAATTTGTGGACTATGATAAAAGAGTGAAAAACAAATGAAGCATGCAAGTCAAGAAATCGGAAAACATAACAGAATAAAGGAAAGCAGAAGGAAAGAATAATTATCAAACTAGACCTCAGTAAATTAGAAAATTAAGAAAAAAAGAAATGATTGATAAGTATAAGCTAGTTCTTTAGGGGAACAACAATTTAAAAAAATATGTAGACATGTATTTTACCTGCAAAAGCAATAGGTGAAGAAAGCACAAATGAAACTAGAAAGTGAGAAATATAGAGATGAAGTGATTTATACATTGCAAAATTCTCTGCAAATACATTTGAAAATGTGGATCAAATAGATGATTTTTTTGGAAAATATGCTACTAGAGTGACTCCAGAATAGAAAGAAAACTTAAAAATGCTGCTAACAGTGAAAGAAATAAGACAGCAGTTTTCTGTGACCAGTTGTTTTTGTTCTTCCTGCCTCTCCGTGGCTGTTGGAGTTTTCAGAGTGGGAGTAGTGAATTTCTGGTGAGCGAACCTCTGAGTGTGGGGTGGCTGGAACGACCTGCCTAGTGATCTGTATGCAGTCTCTTGACAAGGGTGGTCACACACCAGAAGGGTGAAGACAGTGATTCTTGGCATTAGGACCCATCAGAAAATAGAGAGACCTGAATTTTCAGGTTTTAATAACATTTTTCAGGTCCTTATGTTCCTTAAACTTTTTTGTTTAAGAAAAAATTATTTTTAATCATTACTCTGATTCCTTAAAGTAAAAAAATATTTTAAACAGTGTATCAAAATAAATAATGATAAAGCTTTTAAAGCAACATTGTGCATAAAGAAGCTTGAAAGGGTTTTGACAGGAAAATTAAGTTTTGAAAAAAAGAGAAAAATGTAAGCATCAAAATACTTTAGCTCTTATTAATTATTTTCATGGAAAAGTATCTTGTTCTCAAATGCTGGTAAGCTGGAACACCTACTGGTTAAAAATAAATGGATAAAGTGTGAGGAAATGAACTAAGGAAAAAAACAGGGCAAGTGGCACAGCTAGAGAGAAGAATTAAGATCTGTTAAAGGCGTCCGGTCATTTCACCCGTCGTCCCTCCTAAGGCCAGGGTTCATGCTCGGTGTTGGGAAACACCACTGTCACATGGGCCCACTGGCATCCAGAAAAGGCCTGTTTGAAAGAGCATTTGGTTCTGGAGTGTCCTTGCTATTATATTAAAAGTGTTTTCTTCCCCCTGAACTTTGAAAGTTTTCTCTCATAATCTTTATTTAAAGAGATGTAATTTTAACTTAATGTCCTCTTTTTACCCCGTCTTTTTCCCTGGTAGTGGGACCAGTGAACCATGGAGCTGTATTTTGGTGAATATCAACATGTGCAACAGGAATATGGTGTCCACCTGAGACTTGCAAGTGATGAAACCAGAAAGTCCAGGAATCCCCAGCATGCTAAGGCAGGCTCCTACGGGGTCAGTATTCGGGTCCAGGGCATTGATGGCCACCCCTACATAGTCCTCAATAACACAGAGCAGTGTCTGGCAGGCACGTCTTTTTCTGAAAACGGGCCATCGTTTCCAGCTCCGATGTTAAACAGCCTGCCCCTCCATCCCAGCAAGGGGTCTGTGGTGGAAGAGAACAGTGCAGAAGAACTGCAGCTCCCAGAAAACCCATATGCCCCACCTGGCCCAGCAAGAAACCTGAAACAGCCCTCTCTCTCTGAGGGCAAGAACGGGGCTCTAGAGCGCAAAGAGGAGCCAAGGAAGGCATCTCCTGTGCTGAACTTTCAGAGGCATCCAGAGCTTCTACAGCCCTATGATCCTGAAAAGAATGAGTTGAGCTTGAAAAATCACCAGCCTCCTGAAACCAGTTGGCTGAAAGCTTTAAGAGAAGAAGGGACCAACAGTAAGAAGGCCTGGACTTGCATGCCCAAACCTAGCCATTCCCAGCCCACCAGCCCTCCCTCCGAAGACCCGGCCAGGTCCAGCGTGAAGGCCATCCGTCTCTGCAGCTCCGTGGTCATCGACGACCCCCAGAAGCAGACCTCGGTGTGTGTGAACGTTCAGAGCTGCAGCAAGGAGGGTCTGGCAGAGGAGGCTCTTGCCCCTAGCGGGAGGCCCCTGCCCACTCCCAGCCTGCAAGCCCACCCGGAAGCCAAGAGAACCAGACCGGATGTGCTTCCCTTCCGGCGCCAGGACTCAGCCGGGCCGGTTCTGGACGGAGCCCGGTCCCGGAGATCCTCCTCGTCCTCCACGACTCCCACTTCGGCCAACTCTTTGTACAGATTTTTACTCGATGATCAAGAATGTGCCATCCACGCCGACAATGTGAATCGTCATGAAAACAGAAGGTACATCCCCTTCTTGCCTGGAACTGGGCGGGATATTGACACGGGGTCGATTCCTGGCGTGGATCAGTTGATTGAAAAATTTGACCAAAAACCTGGGATGCAGAGAAGAGGCAGGTCTGGGAAGAGAAACAGGATCAACCCAGAAGACAGGAAAAGGTCCCGAAGTGTGGACAGTGCCTTTCCTTTCGGTCTCCAGGGGAACTCGGAGTACCTCACGGAATTCAGCAGGAACCTGGGCAAGTCCAGCGAACACCTGCTGCGGCCGTCGCAGCTGTGCCCGCAGCGTGCTCAGGAGACCCGCGGGAGGCAAGGCGGGGGGCGCGCCTTCGCCAGGCTGCTGGGAGCCCAGCCCAGGCCGCCCCTGCAGAACAAAGATGGGAAAGTTCCAGAAAACAAAGGTGCTCAGGAAAGTCCGACTGGGCGCACATCCTCCCTCCCAGCACAGAGTAAGAAGGAGGAGGAAGTCAAAACAGCCACGGCTACGCTGATGTTACAGAATCGGGCGCTGGCGACTTCCCCTGATTCAGGGACCAAGAGGATTTCCGTGAAGACGTTTACTTCCACCTCAAATACTCAGGTAATACTGGCGGGAGTCATTTTGTTTCCCTTCTAAACGATCTACATTCTGGCTGTAGGAATACGTATCTTCCATCTTGGATCAGTAATTGCATCGTCTTGAATTAGTATTATTTTTTTAGAGTTTTCCACTACAGATTATGACCTGCCAATCAGTCATTTTTCTAAACTAAGTAACCCTAGATTCCTGTTGTGTTCTTGTCTGTGAAGTAACTTATCGAACACAACTGAGAGACTCGATTTTTCTTTTCGTGTTTGTGTAGAATCTGAAAGTATGCAGTTTGTTTCTAAAAACAGAGGCTCCATGCTTAAATTTGTTTTGTTTAGATGTGTTAATTTTCCTCATGACATTGAGTGACTGGATCAATTTCTGTCCTGAGAAATTAGGTTAATCCTAATTTAGGTTTATCCTGAAGTGATGGAATTTCTTCAAGTGGTACATTTAGTGTTTTGGTAGTAACAATAAAAAGATAATGATAGTGATAAAACCGATGATAAGGTTGGTAAGTGCCAGGCACTATTTGTTATGTATTATAGGATCTCACCAAGCCCATGAAGTATTATTAACTTCTATTTACAGGTGAAAAATTGAGGTGAGGAAAAGTTAAGTACCTTGCCCAGGGTTACAGAGCTACTGAGTGGTGGGACCAGTTGGAATGAGCATCCTTACCTGAGAGATTTTTTCTGGAAAGTAGGAATGTGTGTGGGAGCTTCTGCTGTGGGGTGTTGCCTTCTTCCTGGAAGCTTCATCCTGTGATCTAATAACAGACATTGTGTTCCAGGCCACACCGGATCTATTAAAAGGCCAGGAGGAGCTCACTCAGCAAACCAACGAGGAAACGGCCAAGCAGATACTTTACAGTTACCTCAAAGAAGGGTTAGTGATTTTCCTTCAAGGAGCAAAGTATTGTCCTTTATGGTGGGCCTCTTGCTTTTCTGAGACCTTGTGTTTCGTGCTCCCTTCTTGCCCTGTGTGAGCCATTTCAGGGTTCAGGCTCCATGGCTGGAGTTTTCATAACAGCATTTAAGACTTGGGTGGAGGAGGGTGAAGGAGGGGAAAGAAATGTAGGGCACGACATCATACTTTAAAAGTTCAAATGACTATGACTCTCTGCTATTTTAGAAACAAATTCAAAGATAGGAAGACTTGTCTATTCAGTTTTGAATTGAATCAGTCATTGACTTGAGTTTGCCTCTCTATACATAAATGTAATCAATCGTCCCTTATTATAAGTTACAAATGAAAACTCCTCCTCCTCTCCCCAGAGTTGACGTTGGCGGGGTGCCCCTGCTTCCATTATTTTTAAAGCATGTATGAGTCATTTAGAAGATGTGCTTTCCACTTATCTGGGAAGGTTGAGTTTGAATAATCGGGGTTTCAGTCCTTACTTAGATACCAAGTAAGCTGGAATTCTAGGCCAGGAATTTGAAGTTTCTGTTTCAGTTCTCTCATCAGATATGATTAAAAAGAAGAAAAGCTTTATACTCGGACATGACTGAAAGTCACTTGGCAAAAATACTCATTGGTATCAGAACACTTCATAGTTTTGTATTGTGGCTTACAATTTTCTGTCAGTAATGTAGAGCTGACAGAATAATTCAAAATACAAGATAGGGGCTCTTTTGAAGGGAAAAAAAACTAAAGAGATTCTTCTAACTAAGAACTAGTTATTAGTGTCTTTCTGTGAAGGGTTTTACCATGAGAAAATTAAAATAGAAGAACTTTTAACATTTAAAATGGTTTCTCTACATTCTTTTGTTTTTTTGGCCCTTGATTTATTGAGAGACTGAGACAGACTTTAGTGGGAGGCACTTATTTAAGGAAACTTACTAACTTTTTTTAAGTGTCAGGTATGTACGATAGAAGGTGCAGGGCGGGTAGCTGTTAATAGAACTTTATCTGACCATTACTTGTGAAAGTCTAGACAGAGGGCAGCCGTGTTGACAACCTTGGCTTGGGGGATTTATTTTTTTTAAACAAAGTCTAAAACAAATTTAATATCATTATGGAGCATTCGTACTGTCACACACATATAGGAGAGATTCCTTGTTGGAATAAATATTTATCATTTAATTTAGGCAAGAAATAGATGACTAAATTTTTATTGGATGTCATCTTCAAGCTTATTTAGTATATACCTGTGTCTCTTTTCACATGTCTGGAAATGAAAACCTCTCTCCCAAATCAAGTGGTAAAGTAGAACCAATTATTTGGGGAAAAAATGCACTATCTGTCCTGTTCTCCTCACATGAGTTCTGTCCGAACCTTAATTTGTTCCTCTTGCAATTTATCTTTTTTATTTTTTTGGTTAGATTTTATTTTTTATTGTTGTCTGTGCTGTGCTGGGTCTTCATGGCTGCACGAGGGCTTTCTCTAGTTGGGGGGAGCAGGGGCTGCTCACTAGTTGTGGTGCCTGGGCTTCTCTTGTTGCAGAACATGGGCTCTAGGCATGTGAGCCTCAGTATTTGTGGCGCATGGGCTTTGTTGCCCTGTGGCATGTGGAATCTTCCCAGACCAGGGATTGAACCAGCATCCCCTGCGTTGGCAGGCAGATCCTTAACCACTGGATCACCAAGGAAGTCCCAGTTTATCTTCTCAAAGGGCTTATTGTTTGTGTGTCGTGGCACATAAAATAGTCCGAGACTAATGGTTATGCCTTCATTTTTTTTTTCGCTGCTGCGTCTTTTCCAGAAGCACTGATAATGATGATGCTACTAAGAGGAAGGTCAACCTCGTGTTTGAGAAAATCCAGACTTTGAAATCTCGAGCAGCAGGGAGCACGCAAGGAAATAATCAAGTAAGGAGATGCTTGGTGCTTTGTAGAGGGCATTTCACATGGAGCATGTGAGGCAGATTGCTTTCTTCAGTCTGTACTTTCAGTTGCAGCAGGAAGTGGGGAGTTTGCCGTGTAGTAGGCAGTACCAAAGATGGAACAGCATGCTTTAACTGTTGGTAATTTGCACCCTGCCTTTTTTCTAGAAAGGTTTTAAGAAATTTTACTTCTAAAAAAATCTGTGAAATAAAACAAGACAGAGTGATAGGTGGTAAAATTTATAAAGGGAAAAGAAGACTAGGAAAAATGAAGCATTAGATGAAGAACCCTAGCATTATAGTAGGCAAGTTTGAAAGGTAAGTATGAATAGGCTTGTACCCAAGTTCTCAAACTTCAGAGAATAAGAAATAAGAGAATCAAACTAGAGAATATGAAAGAGACTGATGGGCTGACCTCTCTGGGCTGAAGGGAGAGGAAGGAGTGCAGTGGGGCCAGAAATTTTTTTTTTTTATTTTAAGAAACAGTGCCTGTTTATAATTTATTGTATTGGATTTGAGTTGGGACTTGGGGAGATTTTTTGGTTAAAGGAGTCATCTCTTATTTAGTGAGCATCTACTAAATGTTGGACATACTTTGTGCCATGAAAGGAAGCAGGATTTATGAGGGAGGACTAAAATCTTGTCCCTCAATTCTGTGTCACCTTGACTTGGGCCCATTTCTTGCTTGGGCATCTTCCCTTTTCCCTTGTTGGGGAGGTATTCTGCACTAGAAGGAAAGAGGAGATACCCAGAGGCAGGCAGCAGGGAATATGTCCATAGTTTCTTTTTTAACTTTGGCAACATTTGAATGAAGAATATTCTAAGGCATCAACTATCCTTTTTCCTGTTGTTCAGTATTCCCATGACTGCTGCTCTGGCATCAAATAAAAACATTTAAAAGTTGAATTGATTAATTTATTACATATAACTGTTTATAGTTACAGATTTATATATTATATACTTATTTTTAATATATTCTGTTATACATTGTATTGAATTTGTAAATATATAAGTTATATAAATGTACACGGGCACACAGTTCCCACTGGGGAACAGTTAAATTGTACACTTTGCTTGTAGGCAGGCTTTAGGAACTGAACAGTTTTTACAATTGGGTTAGAATTTTTTTGCTGAAACTTTTACATGGAAATCATCACCATGACTGTTGCTTTTCATTTACCTGCATATTCTCTTGGAGAATGCATCCTTTGGCCTTGATGTTCAGATTGTCATTGTGGTCCCAGATGAAAGGTATCCAGCCTTAACTGGGGAAGTCGGGGTAGCCCTTCTGGAGTCAATAACTCTAGTGTTGTCTCAAAATATCTTAGAATTCTCCAAGACAAGGGGGAAAGGCAGGGCATTCTAGGTAGAGGGAACAGCACAGAAAAACATAAAATATAAAGAGATGTGCACTTGTCATGTTTAGGGGACTGGAGGTAGTTTAGTGTAGCTGGAGGAGGGAGCTAGGATGTGGGGACCAGGCACCAAATAGGAAGGACCTTGTAAATCATGTCAATTTCAGGCAGAAGGTGATAGGCTAACACTGATGGACCTTTAAATGGCCATGAGTGGTGCTGTGTTCGTAAAAATTCATTCCTTTGTAGCTTTTGGAGAGAGGTAAGATTAGAGGAAGGGAGACCAGTTAACAAGCTGCTCCTTCTTAATCAAGCCAGAGATAATGAGGTGAACTTAGGCCCTTAGACTTCTGGCTCCAGTCATAGTACTGTGACTGCTTAATTGTCCACATTTTTCTCCTCTCTGTGTCTCTCACTTATGAATCTGATTATTTGCTGGCAAAGGTTTTGGGATTTTATATTTTGGTGTCAGTTAAGTGGCTTCCTGCAAGAGAACCCTCTCCCTTAATAGACTGAAACCATATTGGAAAGCAGAGAAGCAGGCAGTTTTTGTTTGGAAAAGAACAACCTACATTTTTTCTCCTTGGGTTAGGTTTGTATTTCTGAGATGGATTGTTCTCATTTTGCCTAAGAAAATAGGAGGACCTCTGTTTTTGTTGATTGTTGGTTTCTGGTCTGCTTCCTAGGAGCAGATGAGGAAGTGCATCATTCTAGGTTCACGCGTGGCTCACACCTGGATTTGGGTGCATGAGAGCCAAGATACTGCCTTTTTCTGGTTTTCATTTTTGCTTTCCCCTCCCTTTTATTTGTAATTTTCTAACCACTTTGCTATAGGACTTTAGCCAGATCCTTTTGAGAGTGTCATCCTGTTAAATCTATGCAAGAAAAAGAAAAAAAGCACCTTGAGCATTTAATATCTTTGCAATTGATTGTAGGCTTCTAATTCTTCATCTGAAGTCAAAGATCTCTTGGAACAGAAGAACAAGTTGACCACAGAAGTGGCTGAACTTCAGACACAGCTTCAACTGGAAGTCAAGGTACCTGTGATTTTTCTTTGTACTATTTTATTATTTTCTATCTTGATTGATAGAGTATTTTAAGTACCTTGGGTTGCCCAAGTGAAATGAAAATAATTTTTCTCCCAAAAGAAACTTTCTTCCCATTACTGAGCAAATTCCTGTTTCCTGAAGATTTTTTTTTTTTTGGTAAGTAACCAAAATCATGGCTGCATATGGTGACTGCAGCCATGAAATTAAATGACGCTTGCTCCTTGGAAGAAAAGCTTTGACCAACCCAGACAGTCTATTATAAAGCAGAGACATTACTTTACCAACAAAGGTCTGTCTAGTCAAAGCTATGGTTTTTCCAGTAGTCATGTATGGATGTGAGAGTTGGACCATAAAGAAAGCTGAGCACCGAAGAATTGATACCTTTGAACTGTGGTGCTGGAGAAGACTCTTGAGAGTCCCTTGGACTGCAAGGAGATTCAACCAGTCCATTCTAAAGGAAATCAGTCCTGAGTATTCATTAGAAGGACTGATGCTGAAGCTGAAACTCCAATACTTTGACCACCTGATGTGAAGAACTCATTGGCAAAGACCCTGATGCTGGGAAATATTGAAGGTGGGAGGAGAAGGGGACGACAGAGGATGAGATGGTTGGATGGCATCACCAACTTGATGGACATGAGTTTGAGCAGGCGCCTGGAGTTGGTGATGGACAGGGCAGCTGCAATCTATGGGGTCGCAGAGTTGGACACGACTGAACAGCTGAACTGAACCAAAGCATGTAGAGAATGTTGGCTTTGAGAGAGTAACAGAAATGCTGTTGGATTCAGACAGGCAAATTGGAAACCAAATGTATATAAAATGTCTGGACTAAGTAGTAGAAATAGCAGAATGTGATTAAAATGTGTTTGTGTTTTTCTTTTAGAAGTATTAGAATTCATTAAGGGTTCGGTATTCTTTCTAGTTGCGAACTCCTATGCCTTAATTGCACAGTTCCATCAGGTTGTTTAATAATCTAAGTGCAGAGACATGGAGTTCATCAGAGAGTCCATCTGAGATTCAGGATTCAGTGGGGTGACATTAATGTACAGTGGAGGTGTTTTAACTCACACATTTGTTTTAGAATCAACAGAACATCAAAGAAGAGAGAGACAGGATGAAAGCAGACTTAGAAGTGTTGCAAAGCCAGCATGACAGCAAGGTGGAGGAGAGCACTGCGCTGCAGCGGCAGCTGGAGGAAAGTGAAGGGGCGCTCCGGAGACACCTGGAGGAGTAAGTGTGGGCCCAGAACCTGAGCCCTCCCCACCCCAGGCTCCTGAGCTGATGGAGCCAGATTCTTTCTGTCCATTTAATTCTCTGCAACCTTCCAGATCTTCATAGGGGCTGCTGAACCTGCCTTTTCGCCCTCTTACCCTTGTAAAATTGTAAAACCAATGACGTGTAGACTGGTAAGCAGAATTTAAAAATTATTTGTGCACCTCAAAGGATGTTTTACAAAATTTCAGCCCTTAAAGTGGATCTCATGGCAGGTAAGTGAGCAACTGGGAATCCTGAGTGTTGTATCTAGAGATAGTTTAAGAACCTGAGTCCAGTCTCTACAAAGCAATGTCACGTGACCTCCACAGTCTTATGGGTTCAGAGTTTTATCCTGGACGATGCTGGCTTTTGTGACCAGTGTTTTTTTTTTTTTTTTGATTCTTTATTTGGAGTGCATTTATTTTAGATCTTTTAAAAAACTTATTTCCCACAGCAAATTTTAAATCATATAAAAGAGCATATTTGAACCTAGTTAATTTAAACTTTGCTCTTGGCAAACTTTTAAAACAAGAGTCCAGTAGTAAATAAATAAATAATTTTAATATTAATTATACTTGGGAAATACTTGCACACTTCCTTGTTTTTGATCTTATCTAGAACTTAATGAAATTTCTAAACGTATATACCTTTCATCATTAAGTTCTATTACCAAGTAATGCTTGTGTTATAAAAATTATTCTTCAAAAAAAATTATTCTTCAAAGACTCAAAGTTTTACATTTAGTCAGTGTATGAGAAAATAGTAATTACTGATAACAGTTATCTAACGGAAAATCACATTTCTAACCTCTTTTGCAGAGCCTAATTACTCAGCAAGGCCTCAAGGTCCATACTAATTTAAACTGTCTATTACCAACTGCAGCAAACCAAGAATTATATTCAGAATTTACAAAGGTATTCCTAGGAACATACCCATTACAGGACGAGCTACAGTCTTTTAGAAGTAAAACTTCCAAATTTATATTCATTTTATTTCATGGGCTCTTTCAAGTCCTTATTAATTTCCATTTTTAGGGTTTTGATTATGTTTTGATACCATTGTTCAGTGAGTTATTTTCTGTTGTTCCTTTTCTGTCATTTCCTGTTGGCGAATTGTATCCTGAGCTGCTTGCTGTATTTTCTCCAGTTTTGGCACAGTCATAAATCTTAATGGTAAAAGTACGGGTTTACATAGCACCATTGTGGGTACATCTTCTACATAAAACTGCCCTTGTTTTGGAAGAACTTCCCGGAACAGCAACTTCGTTTCTGCCATATCTGAAGTGTTGGATACAGTCTTGTCCTGAAAGTTCTCCTGATCCTTTTCCCCCCGCAGCTTTAGGTATCCAACCCGGTATTACGAAGATGACTGACAGGTGTTGACTCAAACCTACAGAAGGAAAGATGCTTCTCTTCCCTGATGGCTTAATTGTTGCCCAGGGCAACTGTGAGTCTGGGCGAAGGGCGTGACCAGTGCTTATAGTTCTTTTGCATCTTTAGAGAGAGAAAGTCAAGCCCAAACGGCCCTGCCATTTTGTTGTATTAAAATCTGTGACAGTGGACATTTTATTCATTTCAAGAGATTTGAAAGAGAAAGATCCACCACCGTTTTTTTCCCACTTGCTCTTGTTGCACAAGTTCCGCATCTTATCTAGAGTCTATCTAGATGAAAACCTGTCCACATGTAGAAATCCATGAACAAAAAAACCAGAGAGCCCAAAGTTATGTGATTGTTGGGATTCTAGCAGTGATTTAAGAGCATACAAGTAAAATACTTGACCCAGTTGTGTGAGGAGATTGTCTAAATGAGTGTATGTCATGTGAACAAATGTGGCATATACAAAGGAATACTTAGAATACCTCATTGTGAGTGTTTTATATCTGATTAAATCTGTGTGAAATACAGAATGAACATGTATAACATGTGGGACGTCTGAATATGTGAGCTGCATCTCAATAAATTGTATTCTAATCTGAAAAATATCTATGACAAAAGGACTTGAAATGAAGGTCTGAAATGAATGGTGCAGTGAAATCCACTGGCCATGACAGAAGCCTTATGTGAAAGGTTAAGCAGGAGTGAAATCTAGAGGGAAATTCAAGAACAGTAGGACATTGTATCATAAAAGCATTTCATTACCTTTGCCATTTTGATGGTGTGGTGTGTGCTTTTAAAATATTCTTAGAGGTTAATTTCAGAAAAGAGGTTGAAAAGGAAAAAACCCTGAAATTTAGAGTGTAGTAGATGTATGGATGTGAGAATTGGACTGTAAGGAAAGCTGAGCGCTGAAGAATTGATGCTTTTGAACTGTGGTGTTGGAGAAGACTCTTGAGAGTCCCTTGTACTGCAAGGAGATCCAACTAGTCCATCCTAAAGGAGATCAGTCCTGGGTGTTCATTGGAAGGACTGATGCTGAAGCTGAAACTCCAATACTTTGGCCACCTCATGCGAAGAGTTGACTCACTGGAAAAGACCCTGATGATGGGAGGGATTGGGGGCAGGAGGAGAAGGGGATGACAGAGGATGAGATGGCTGGATGGCATCACTGAATCGATGGGCATGAGTTTGAGTAAACTCCGAGAGTTGGTGATGGACAGGGAGGCCTGGCGTGCTGCGATCCATAGGGTCGCAAAGAATCAGACACGACTGAGTGACTGAACTGAACTGAAAGACTTTACTGTGTTTGAGTGTCTCTTGAGGAGGTATGGGTCAGCAGTGGACTGCTGCAGGAGCAGGGGCTCTGGGTGCAGTAGACCTGGGTATGGCATAAGCCCTCTTAGAGGAGGTCGCCATTAACCCCACCATAGAGCCCCCAGAACTTACACAGGACTGGGGAAATACACTCTTGGAGGGCACAGACAGACCCTTGAGTGCACCAGGAGCCAGGAGAAAGGAGCCAGTGACCCAACGAGAGACTGGCCCAGACTTGCCTGTGAGTGTCCAGGAATCTCTGGCAGAGGTGTGGGTCAGTGGTGGCCTGTTGCAGGGCTGGGGGCGCTGAGTGTAGCAGTGCCTGCGTGGGAGCTTTTGAAGGAGGTTATCTTTATTACCTCCACCATTATCTTCATTACCTCCACCATAGTTTGGTTTCAGGTCAAATAGCAGGGAGGGAACACAGCCCCACCCATCAACAGAAAATTGGATTAAAGATTTTCTGAGCATGGCCCTGCGCATCAGAACAGGACCCAGTTTACCCCTCAGTCAGTCTCTCCCATCAGGAAGCTTCCATAAGCCTCTTATCCTTCTCCATCAGAGGGCAGACAGACTGAAAAACACAGTCACAGAAAGCTAACCAATCTGATCACATGGACTGCAGCCTTGTCTAACTCAATGACACTATGAGCCATGCTTTGTAGGGCCACCCGAGAGAGATGGGTCATGGTGGAGAGTTCTAATAAAACATGCTCCACTGGAGAAGGGAATGGCAAACCACTTCAGTATTCTTGCCTTGAGAATCCCATGAACAGTATGAGAAGGCAAAATGATAGGACACTGAAAGATGAACTCCCCAGGTTGGTTAGGTGCCCATTATGCTACTGGAGATCAGTGGAGAAACTACTCCAGAAAGAATGAAGAGATGGAGCCAAAGCAAAAACAACACCCAGTTGTGGATGTGACTGGAGATGGAAGTAGACTCTAATGCTATAAAGAGCAATATTGCATAGGAACCTGGCATGTTAGGTTCATGAATTAAGACAAATTGGAAGTAGTCAAACAGGAGATGACAAGAGTGAACATCGACATTTTAGAAATCAGCGAACTAAAATGGATTGGAATGGGTGAATTTAACTCAGATGACCATTATATCCACTGCTATGGGCAAGAATCCCTTAGAAGAAATGGAGAAGCCATCATAGTCAGCAGGAGTCCAAAATGCAATACTTGGATGCAGTCTCAAAAATGACAGAATGATCTCTTCATTTCCATGGCAAATCATTCAATATCACAGTAATCCAAGTATATGCCCCCAAGCAGTAATGCTGAAAAAGCTGAAGTTGAACGGTTCTATGAAGACCTACAAGACCTTCTAGACTAACACCCACAAAGATGTCCTTTTCATTATAGGGGACTAGAAAGCAAAAGTAGGAAGTCCAGAAATACCTGGAGTAACAGGCAAATTTGGCTTTGGTGTACAGAACAAAGCAGAGCAAAGGCTAGTAGAGTTTTGCCCAGAGAACGCACTGGTCATAGCAAACACCCTCTTCCAACAACATAAGAGAAGACTCTACACATGGACATCACCAGATGGTCAATACTGAAATCAGATTGATTATATTCCTTGCAGCCAAAGATGGAGAAGCTCTATACAGTCAGCAAAAACAAGACCGGGAGCTGACTGTGGCTCAAATCATGAACTCCTTATTGCCAAATTCAGACTTAAATTGAAGAAAGCAGGGAAAACCACTAGACCATTCAGGTATGACCTAAATCAAACTCCTTATGATTATACAGTAGAAGTGACAAATAAATTCAAGGGATTAGATCTGATAGAGTGCCTGAAGAACTATGAACAGAGGTTCGTGACATTGTATAGGAGCCAGGGATCAAGACCATCCCCAAGAAAAAGAAATGCAAAAATGCAAAATGGCTGTCTGAGGAGGCCTTACAAATAGCTATGAAAAGAAGAGAAGTGAAAGGCAAAAGAGAAAAGGAAAGATATACCCATTTGAACGCAGAGTTCCAAAGAATAACAAGGAGAGATAAGAAAGCCTTCCTCAGTGACCAGTGCAAAGAAATAGAGGGAAACAATAAAATGGGAAAGACTACAGAGCTCTTCAAGAAAATTAGAGATACCAAGGGAAAATTTCATGCAAAGATGGGCTCAATAAAGGACAGAAATGGTATGGACCTAACAGAAGCAGGAGATATTAAGAAGAGGTGGCAAGAATACACAGAAGAACTATACAAAAAAGATCTTCATGATCCAGATAATCACGATGGTGTGATCACTCACCTAGAGCCAAACATCCTAGAATGCGAAGTTGAGTGTGCCTTAGGAAGCATCACTATGAACAAAGCTAGTGGAGGTTATGGAGTTCCAGTTGAGCTATTTCAAATCCTAAAAGATGACGCTGTGAAAGTTCTTCACTCAGCATGCCAGCAAATTTGAAAAACTCAGCAGTGGCTATAGGACTGGAAAAGGTCAGTTTTCGTTCCAATTCCAAAGAAAGGCAATGCCAAAGAATGCTCAAACTACTGCACAATTGCACTCATCTCACATGCTAGCAAATTAATGTCAAAATTCTCCAAGCCAGGCTTCAACAGTATGTGAACCGTGAACTTCCAGATGTTCAAGCTGGATTTAGAAAAGGCAGAGGAACCAGACGTCAAATTGTCAACATCCGCTGGATCATCGAAAAAGCAAGAGAGTTACAAAAAAACACCTACTTCGGCTTTATTGACTATGCCAAAGCATTTATGTGAATCACAACAAACTGAAAAATTCTTAAAGAGATGGGAATACCAGACCACCTGACCTGCCTTCTGAGGAATCTGCATGCAGGTCAGGAAGCAATAGTTAGAACTGGACATGAAACAACAGACTGGTTCCAAATCAGGAAAGGAGTATGTCAAGGCTGTATATTGTTACCTTGCTTATTTAACTTATATGCAGAGTACATGATGAGAAATGCTGGACTGGATGAAGCACAAGCTGAAATCAAGATTGCCAGGAGAAATATCAGTAACCTCAGATATGCAGATGACACCACACTTATGGCAGAAACAAAGAACTAAAGAGCCCCTTGATGAAAGTTAAAGAGGAGAGTGAGAAAGTAGGCTTAAAATTCAACATTCAGAAAACTAAGGTCATGTCATTTGGTCCCATCACTTCTTCTCTAATAGATGGGGAGACAGTGGAAACAATGAAAGACTTTACTTTCTTGGGTTCCAAAATCACTGCAGATGGTGACTGCCACCATGAAATTAAAAGATGCTTGCTCCTTGGAAGAAAAGTTATGACCAACCTAGACAGCATATTAAAAAGCAGAGACATTACTTTGCCAACTAAGGTCAGTCTAGTCAAAGCTATGGTTTTTCCAGTAGACATGTATGGATGTGAGAATTGGACTATAAAGAAAGATAAGCACCAAAGAATTGATGCTTTTGAACTATACTCTTGAGAGTCTCTTGGACAGCAAGGAGATCTAACCAGTCCATCCTAAAGTAAATCAGTCCTGAATATTCATTGGAAGGACTGATGCTGAAGCTGAAACTCTAATACTTTGACCACCTGATGCAAAGAACTGACTCATTTGAAAAGACCCTGATGCTGGGAAAGATTGGAGGCGAGAGGAGAAGGGAATGGCAGAGGATGAGATGGTTGGATGGCATCACTGACTCAATGGATATGAGTTTGAGTAGGCTCCTGTAGTTGGTGATGGACAGGGAAGTCTGACGTGCTGCAGTCCATGGGGTTGCAAAGAGTTGGATTCAACTGAGTGACTGAACTGAAAGGCTTTACAAAATAAAAAAGGTAGAATAGCTGTGAGTTTAATTTGGAACAGAGGTTGGCGAACTTTTTCTGTCAGATAGTAAATGTTTTAGAGTTTATGGACCATACCATATGAAATTGTTCATTTCTACCATTGTATGGTGCAAATGACCATAAGCAATATATGAATGAGCATGGTTTTGTTCCAGTAAAACTTTATTTACAAAAGCAAGCAATGGGCCAGATTGTCCCACGGGCCATAATTTGCTGACTCTAGTGGTCTGGAGTACTGAGGGTGCGGTGGTACAGAGTCGGGTGGCTTTAGTGAAAACAGCTCTGTGGCCTAATTCCTTGTCTTCTCTGTCCAAATTCTAGTATCATGTGGTCTCCTTTTGGGGAGGAAATGTCGCTGTATAACCTTTCCCATTACATTGGCTTGATTTCTCACTTGTCTTCTCTTTGGGCAATTAGACTGCTGTTATAGTTCTTACCAGTGCCTTTCTGGTTTGTGATATTTTGTTCAGCACAGAACAGAGAATGGGAGGCTACTTGGGGACTTAGATGACTCTGCTTGACCATCTGAAGGTCTGAAAGCAGACTGGATGAAAATAAGCAGAGACCAGGAGAGTGTCTCTCATGGGTTTCCTTTTCTGCCAGGCTGTTCCAGGTGAAGATGGAACGGGAGCAGCACCAGACTGAAATCAGAGATCTCCAGGACCAGCTCTCGGAAATGCATGATGAATTGGACAGTGCGAAACAATCTGAGGACAGGGAGAAGGGGGCTCTGATTGAGGTAAGCTGGGGCCAGGTGACAAGAGAGACCCTGTCTGTCTGGAGGGTGTGGGATAGGTTGGGGCACTGGGAGCCATTGTCTGATGTGTGCTTGTTCTGCTTGTGAATATGGTTCCCTTTTGTGAGAACATCATATGGCAATAGTTTGTCTTATGAAAATTTTCAACCGCATAGAAAGGTAGAAAGAATAATGTGTTAACTCATGTAGAGTCCCAGTCCAAACCCAACAGTTGTTAACATGTTTCCGTATTTACTCCATTTTTTCTTCTGTCCGTCCATTCAACTTTGTTTTTTTATTTTTATTTATTTATTTATTTTTCTGTTGTTTGTTTTTTAAAAATTCATCTCTCTATTCTTCTCGATGAACTTTTTCAAGGGAATTTACAGATAATACCACATTGCACCTGTAAGCTTTTCAGCATGCATTTAAATAGTTTATAATTTTCTTATAACCACAATACTATTATCATATTCCCCTTCATGGATCATAGCCTTGTCATGGTGAAGGGGCTTGCATAACTCAGTGAAGCTATGAGCCATGCCCTGCAGGGCCGCCTAAGATGGATGGGTCAGAGTAAACAGTTCTGACAAATTGTCCAATGGAGAAGGAATGGCAACCCACTCCAGTATTCTTGCCTGGGAAATCCCGTGGACAGAGGAGCCTGGTGGGCTGCAGTCCGTGGGGTCACAAAGAGTCGTATACGACTGAGTGACTTACACATGGTACACAGCAACTGTGATGTGAGCTTCAGTTTTGGTGATGTGTTTTCAGGCAGAGGCTAATAGTGAGAATCTCAGGAAAGGGAAACAGAGCACATCTTTTCTTAAAAATGTTCCTGGTGTTGCTGGCTTTCTGTTTTTTTGCCTTTCTTATAATGGGAGCTATATCTTCTACTGCTGCCTTTCTACAAGATAAGTTAGGACACAGTGAGCTTCTCTGTGCCAAAGTGGGTTTCTCTCCCTCTGGAAAATTGTCCTCACTATTTTTATCAGTTTCCTTTGACATGTCAGTGACATTTGAAAAATGATCTATGGTTTTTATATCACAAATTAAATAGACCCCATCTCCTCATCACTTTCAGTTTATTCTTCATATCTTAATAAAAAGTGGTCGGGGGAATCTGATAACAGGTTATAGTTGTAGCCAACTTTTCCATTGGACTTGGCTTAGAATAGCCTCTTAAACTCAGCGAACATTAAACACTTCTGCTTTTGAATGCTTGGAAAAGCTTGAAGGCCCTGTATTTTGTGAGGCCTGCATAATGCACAAGATTTTTCCGGAAATATCTTTTAATACTGTACATTCTATTAAATGACGTTGGGTCTCTATATGGAGTCAGTATGAAAAGAGGATAGAATCATTATTTAAAAAAAAAAGATTAAAGGAAAGAAGAAAGGAAGACATAGTATAAAATACCTATTCTCTTAGGATAAGCCAGATATTAATAATTGACCAAGAATAGAATGACTTTGTTATTCTTAAGTAACCAACTGATGATTTTGAATTTCTTTTTTTATTTAAGATACAAAAATAATTATAGCTCAAGTAGTCATTTCTTTGACCCTGAGTATGTTTCCCTTGGTTTTGGTAGTGATGGGTAAAAATGAGACCTCTCTCTAAGCTTCATGACAGTGGGGTTCTCTAATTACTGAAGATCATCTCTGATGGGAGCTTATAGTGTTGACAGATGGGCCAACAGAATCCTATGGTGTTTTATCCCTGACATTTACCAAGATGCAAGTGCTTACATATCAGTAAAATATTCTGGTTATGAAATCCTGTTGGTTTAGGGGTAGACTGGTGCTCAGAGATAAAATCTCTAAAGTAAGTATAAGCTTATTTTGAAGTGATGTTACTGAATATTATACACAGTAAAGAAAATGATGATTCTCACCAGCTGTGTTACAATTTCTAGGCCATCTTTCTGTGGAAAAAATGACATAATTCTTTGTCAGCTATATGTTTTTTTGAGAGGAGGGCATACCATGTAGCATGTTGAGATCTTAGTTTCCTGACCAGGGGTCAAACCCGTGCTCCCTGCAGTGGAAGCAAGGAGTCCTAACCACTGGACTGTCATGGAATTTCCATTTATTTTCTTTCTTTTTTGTTTGATTTTTGGATTGTCAGCTGTAGTTTTGATATATGACCTTTACTTGTCTTTTCCATGAGCAAGGGCTTCTGTGGAAGCTTTTGTGCAAAGGGTCTAGATCAGTGTTTTTTTCCTGTTGACATGGAATACCTATGGGTAGGTGGTGTGTGAAGATGTTCTGTGGACTTGTGAGTGGCTACTCTGGATGTTCTGGTCTGTGTCTTTCTGTGCCCCTACTGTTAGGACAGCCTCTGGCTTATTGCTGTTAACAGCCAGCTCCCAGAGCATGCTTCCTTTTCTTCTCAACTTTCATTGTTGTCTTTTCAGGTTCTGGGCAAATTTCTTTGGTTCAGTTTAAACAGGTAGACCTCCTTGTAGGCACTTCCAATTGAATCCAGTACCCTTTTCATTTGCATCCGAGAGCCAGAGCACAGCCTCACTGCTTGCTCCTCAGCCTCTTGTGAGCGTGTAGTTTTGTTGTCAGCCCTGCAGAGGCTGTTCCGTGAAGAGAACCAGCATTGTTATCCAATCTGGGTCTCATCTTGGCTCTATCACTTATATGCTGGGTGATCTTAGGCATGTTATTAATAGCATCTCAAAACTCCAGTTTTTTTTTAAATAAATGAGAACAGTAGTATTCATCTATGATTTTTAGAAGTGCTTAGCATAATTCTTACTATGTAGTTAGTACCAAATAGTCAGTCTTTTTAGCTTAACCCCTCTACTCCTTCCCATCCACCCCCAAATATACATTCATACTAGGTCTTTATCTCTTGTGGCTTCATGTGAAGCTAGCCTAGATGTGTATAGGTTTTGAAGGTGCTGATTCTGCATACCCAGAGTTTTCCTTTGTTTTCTTTGATGGGAGTCTGCAGACTGGCATGTGCATCTCTGGTGGATGTTTGCATATATTTTGAGGTTTATATGTTTTACTCTTGCATCTTTGGTGGCTCAGTGGTAAAGAATTCACCTGCCAGTGCAGGAGACACGGGTTTGATCCCTGGGTCTGGAAGATTCCCTGGAGAAGGAAATGGCAACCCACTCCAGTATTCTTGGCCTGGGAAATCCCACGGACAGAGGAGGCTAGCAGGCTACAGTCCTTGGGGTCGCAAAGAATCAGACACGACTGAGTGATTAGAAAGCAGCAGTATGTTTTCTCTCACTTCTTTGGCTTGATATAATTGACAGTAAAGCCTCAGAGGTGATGAAGTTTTTGAAATCTCTCGGTGCCTTTTGGTCTCTACCCTGGAAAGCTTCAAGTGCTTCTCAGTGATATTGTGAGGTGTAATCTGATTGGATTTGTACAGCAGAGTCCATTTAAGCAGCAGCCCCAGTCACAGATAACAGCATGTTGGTGTAGAATGGACCATAAAAACTTAAGTTTCTTGACATGCATTGGTGGCAGTACACAAAAGGCAACATGAAACACAGATATGTCCTGGAAAAGATAAGTGTGGGAAGAGGAACTGCGTTATCGTCAAAACAATTGAGAAATGTGTGAGAGTAAGAGCAGGAAACAGGAGTAGACTCACAAGGCCTGCTGTGAAGAAGCTGGCAGGAGGCTCCAGGAAGACCTAGAGGGGTTGCCAATAGCAACAGGGATGTGGGGACGGTGTTTCTAATAGCCCTGAACTGGATAGTTTGATAAATAGCAGAATGGGATATATTTTCATAAAATTTGCTTATGTGTTTTGTGTTTGGTGCTTTGGAAGAGTCAGAGTTGCTCTAGTTACCTGGATGATTCTCTGGAAGTTTCTTCTGAGCTTATTAATGCCTGCCAGCTCGATTCTTGAGGAACTAAGTCTTAGTCTGTGCAGTGCAGCTCCACCCTGGAATTGCAGAGGCTCCCCTGGTTTAATGGGACTTCCCTGGTAGCTCAGCTGGTAAAGAATCTGCCTGAAATGCAGGAGACCCTGGTTCAATTCCAAGGTTGAGAAGATCTGCTGGAGAAGGGATAGGATACCCACCCCAGTATTCTGGCCTGGAGAATTCCTTGGGGTTGCAAAGAGTCAGACACAACTGAGCGATTTTCACTTTCCCCTGATTTAATGTATGTACATGCCCTAGAGCAATGGTCCCCAACCTTTTTCATGACTGGTTTTGTGGAAGACAGTTTTTCCACAGACCAGGGCAGGGTAGGGGGGTTGATTCAAGTGCATTACATTTACTGTGCACTTTATTTCTATTACAGTTGTTACTTTGTGATATAATTTATAATAATTGTACAACTCACCATAATGCAGTATCATTGGGAGCCCTGAGGTCGTTTTCCTGCAACTAGATGGTCCCGTCTGAGAGTTTTGATATGAGTCTGCAAGCAATAGATTTATTACAGTCTCTGTGCAGTCAAACTTCTCTGCTAATAATGTGTATTTGCAGCTGCTCCCCAGTGCTAGCATCACCGCCTCAGCTCCAACTCAGATCACCAGGCATTAGATTCTCATAGGGAGTGCACAACCTAGATCCCTCACATGCACAGTTCGTGTTCCTATGAGAATCTAATGCCACTGCTGATCTGACAGGAGGCGGAGCTGAGGTCATAATGCGAGTGATGGGGAGCAGCTGTAAATACAAATGAAGCTTTTCCCATTGCTCACCTCCTCCTGCTGTGCAGCCTGCTTCCTAACAGGCCACAGACCAGCATCAGTCTGTGACCTGGGGGTTGGAGACCCCTGCCCTAGAGCAAAGAAAGGAAATTCCATTGTCAGTTTTTCTTAAATTGATACTAATAGTGTCACCCCCTCATCAGTGACCCACATCTTAAATGCAAAATATTTTTCTCTCTTGAGACCTCAGTTCTCAGGTGCCAGCCCTTCCTTTAGTTCTACAGGAGCTCTGAGAGGACAGGATGTGTATTTACTCATGAACTACCAGTGAAAGAATGGGTGAGTTTAGAATTCTGACATTTCTAGTCTCTTGCTGTACTGCCCATTCTAATATATGCCCAGAACAGGTCTGCTCCCAGCTATCACAGATCCATGCATCAAAAATATAAATCAGATCTGTTTTCAAGAAGTTGGTAATCATGTGAGTGAAAGTGAAAGTCACTCAATTGTGTCCGACTCTCTGCAACCCCACGGACTGTACAGTCCATGGAATTCTCCAGGCCAGAATGCTGAAGTGAGTAGCCTTTCCCTTTTCCAGGGGATCTTCCTGACCCAGGAATTGAACCAGGGTCTCCTGCATTATGGGTGGATTCTTTACCAGCTAAGCCACCAGGGAAGCCCAAGAATATTGGAGTGGGTAGCCCATCCCTTCTCCAGCGGATCTTCCTCACCCAGGAATCAAACTGGGGTCTCCTGAACTGCAGGTGGATTCTTCACCAGCTGAGAGAGATAAGCAAATAGCATTAAGTACTGTGAGAAGCACAGCTAAAGTGAGGTTGGGTATTCAGGAAGAGGATTCAAGGAAGACTTCTTGGAGTAGGTCGTACAGTATCTGAGTCTTGAGAGGTTTTCAGAAAGAGACAGATGGGACCAAGAGGGGTGAAGGATGCCCCTGACAGAAGATACCTTGTAGGTGATGGCATAGACTGCAGATGAGAAACTGGAGGTGGGGGAGCCTTTGGGTAGCTCGTGCAAACCACCTGGGCCAGAGGTGAGGAGAGCCTAACCCTGGAGAGGGGGAAAAGGATCTAAGATGTTACAGAACTATTTAGTCATGAGGGACAAAGATGAGAGGGATCAAGGTCGTTGCCAAGCTCCCGAGCCTGTGAGCTCCTGAGCAGGTGCTGTTGTCCCTGAGAGTAATGAACAAAGGAAGAGGAGAGGAAGGGACTTGAATTCACTGAGAAACATAAGCCTCCTGAATCTTAGGTGCCTGAGGGACATCCAGATGTCTGAGTCTTGCAGGTCTGAACTCAGCTAAGAGTTGGAGGTAAAGGTTTGGGAGTTATTTATGTAGAATTAATAGTTGGAAAACAAAACAAAACTAGGTGAACTTGCCAAAAAAGAGTGAAGAATGTGAAGTCACATTCTTGGGGATCATCTTAGCTTTTTAGGAAGAGGGAGGGAAAAGCCAGAAAAGATTGTCACAGAAAAAGTGGCCCAAGGGAAGAAAACAGGAGCGTGTAGTATCTTTGAACTGCAGGGGAAAGAGAATTCTAAGGGTACGGGTGCAGAGGATCACAGCTTGTGTGTATGCGCAGTTGCTTAGTCACGTCTGATTCTTTGTGGCCCCATGGACTGTGGCCTTCCAGGTTCCTCTGTCCTTGGGATTTTTCTGCAAGAATACAGGAGTGGGTTGCCATTTCCTCCTCCGGGGATCTTCCCAATCCAGGGACTGAACCTGCATCTCCTGCATTGGCAGGCGGGTTCGTTACTACTGAGCCAGCTGGGAAGCCCCAAAGAGGATCAAAGGAGCATAAAGAAAAGTGAAGACTGAGCAAAGGCCTTTGGATGTCGCGGTGAAGAGGCCAACCTTGGAGGGAACAGTGGCAGTATAGTAGGAGCAAAAGCCATTTGCAAGAGATTAGGGTGATCAAGAAGTACACACAGTGAACAGAAATTATACTTTCAAAAGTTTGGTGGAAAGCTTGGTTTTTTGTGTGTGTATTTTTTTTGTTTTTTGCCCTTGCCTGAGAGGATTCTTGTCCCCTGAGGAAAAGGACATAGATTCAAGGAAACAGAAAGGAACAAAATGACAGGGGGAAAAAAAAAAAAAGACGACTGATCAGTAAAGACTTGGAGCAGGCTGGTGAGGAGGAAGCTGGCTGTCCGTGAAGTGGCTTGGGGCGGGGAGGAGGCCTGGCATGAGCAGCTGGGTGGTCAAGCCCAAGTCCTGGCTGAGTGCACAGTAGGGGCGTCTGTGGGGCAGGGGGAGCCTGAGCCTGAGGGTTGCTGAGCAGGTCTGACAAGGAATGGTGCCCTGAGAGGAATGCCCAGCTTAGGCAGGACATAATTGTGTTGAGGTGATGCCACTGGTAGTGGAACTTGCTGCCCCAGTTTGGTGACTTTGCTCGTGATCAGTGAGGTTATGAGGCAGGGAAGGTGGAGAATGTGTGACTATTATCCCTGCTCAGAATGGAGCAGAGGCATCCCGAGGACTTGGGCTGTGGGATCAGGATTCCGGGGGTGAAGTAAGAGAGGCCAGCAAGTCAGCATCTGGTCCCCTCCTCCCCTGCCAACGAAGCAACAGCTCATGAAGGCCACTAGCAGGGACTGCAGACCATTGCACTGAAGTGAAAATGAAAGTGAAGTTGCTCAGTCTTGTCCGACTCTTAGTGACCCCGTGGACTGTAGCCTACCAGCCTCCTCCGTCCATGGGATTCTCCAGGCAAGAATACTGGAGTGGGTTGCCATTTCCTCCTCCAGGGTATCTTTCCGACCCAGGGATTGAACGCGGGTCTCCTGCATTGCAGGCAGATGCTTTAGCCTCTGAGCCACCAGGGAAGCAGGGACTGCAGACCATTGCACTGAAGTGAAGTGAGATGGAAAACACAGACCTGGCACCTCAGAGCATCGAGAATAAAACCAGTTTCCCTTTTCTACCTCAAATTAGATCTCAGGAAAGCTAAGATAGTGGAGTCAAGGGATACGGTGGCTTGTGAGAAGGGGAAGAGAAAGAGAGGATGGGGGCTCAGCCAGTATGTAGCGTGCGGGAGAGAGAATAGGGAGGTTTGGTGAGGGTGTGACCCTGAGTGCGGGGGCCGAGGTGGAGGCGCAGGGCGGCTCAACAGAACGCTTATATCCTCACCTCCCTGCTCGTGTATTCTCTCTGCAGGAGCTCCTGCAGGCAAAGCAGGACCTTCAGCATCTGCTCATTGCCAAAGAGGAGCAGGAAGACCTCTTGAGGAAGCGGGAGCGTGAACTCACCGCGCTGAAGGGAGCCCTGAAGGAAGAGGTTTCCAGCCATGACCGGGAGATGGACAAGCTGAAGGAGCAGTATGACGCCGAGCTGCTGGCCCTGCGGGAGAGCGTGGAGGAGGCCACTAAGGTGAGTGCTGGTCAGAGGGGGCAGGCAGGGCACAGGGGAGGCCCAGGACCCCCTCCCCCAAACCTGTGTCCGTTGTTTGCCTTCCTTTTCATGACAGAGTGAAACTCAGTTTCATCCCATCATTGATCCAGAAAGTGAAAAGTGAAAGTGTTGGTCACTCAGTCATGTCTGACTCTCTGCAGCTCCATGGACTGTAGCCCACCAGGCTCCTCTGTCTATGGGATTCTCCAGGCAAGAATACTGGAGTGGGTAGCCATTCCCTTCTCCAGGGGGTCTTCCTGACCCAGGGATTGAACCTGGATTCTCCTGCACTGCAGGCAGATTCTTTACCATCTGAGCCACCAGGGAAGTCCTGTTGATCCAGACCTTGTTCACAACAGTAAACTCAGCAGTTATGCTGTTGACCACCTCAAGTCCATAAACGTTAAAAATTTAAGGACACTGCGTAAAACCTCTGGTACGTGGTGAGATTCAGAGGCCCAGAAATGACCCCTTCCAGGATTCCTAGGGCATTGCTGCCTTTGCTGATGGGGCCGGATTGCAGACAGGATGTTTCTGGCATCTTCCCCCCCTGCTCCGCTCTGTTCTTTCTGACTTGTGAAGCCTTTTGTTAGACGATTCAAGTTCTTTTCTCAGCACAGTTACAAGAGGGTTAATGAGCTGAATTGCCCAAACCTTTGCAAGATAATTTTTCTCTTAATTGAATTCTTGGCTCTTACAAATGGATTCTAAACTATTTTGAGGTCTTTGGTGTGGGCCTTGAGTTGGCTGATAATGAAAAGGGGGAAATGAAGGGGAAAATGTTTTGAAATGTCATGCCATCTTTAGGGAAAGAGAGGAATTACACAGTGTAAATTTTTTATGTTCTCTGCCATATATAGGTTAAAGATGATGAAGAAAGAAGGCTTGATATTGTTTATTCTGTGATGACTACAGTAACAGCTCAGAGCTGGTCAGTCCTCTCTCCCCTACACTCCATAGTGATTCACTGATCTTCAGTTACAGCACAGTAATTGCAGATGACAAGAAGTGAAAAATGGATTTGGTTTTATAACAGTAAAAATGTTTGGGAAAAATAGTCGGTTTGGGTTTATTATAACTGAGGTAGTTTAAGAAAAAAAGCCTCTTGTTCATTTGCCTATCTTAACTTTTTTGAGATTTGGTTTCGTTTGAGGGAGAAAAGTGAAACTCATTTAATTTTCAGTGCTTTGCAGGGACATATCTGTTTTTTCCATCTCATTTTCTTTCTGTGCAGCAGCCTGTTGTCCTTACTCTTGGCCTGTATGTGCTGCTGCTTCTTGGGGAACACGCCAACAGGCTGCTGAGTAAAATAATTTTCCTTTGGACCCATCACATCTTTATTATCTTCAGACCTTACATCAAAGCTTGAGTTAACATGGTTTATTCATTGAAGGGTAGTTGAGGATGATATTTGGCAGGTTTGCAGTGTTTTGACTCTAAGGAGAATTGAACTTACAGCACACATAGGATGCAGGAGACTTTATTGGAAGCTTCTAGGTCCTTTGCTGTCACATGTTATAAGCAGGGAAGGGAATGATGGTAGGTGAGGAAGTATCTTTGTTGTATGGGAATGAGATAATCTGTAAAGATTTAGGCTCCTGACTTTTAAGCATTGCTTCACATTAGACAAAAAACGATCACACAGACCAAATACAGGTCATCTGCAGGTTGACAGTGTGTGACTTTTGTCCTCTTGTCCGTGTCCCTCTCGCAGTGTCTGATGCATGATCACATCTCTGCAGTGTCTGATGAGTGAAAGTGGAGGATCAGTTCCTCTCTTAACTGGATTTTCAGTCCCTAGTGTGTGGTTTCGGTTAAATTTTCTCCAGTGATGATGTGGGAAATCTTTTAGGAAACTGCTGTTTCTCTGTGAATTTCTCTGCCTTGCTTTTGCATTTCCCTGCGGTTTCTTAAAGAGGATCATGATTGTGTTTTTACACCTCATTAGCTTTTGCTTCTGAAGGTGTTTGCTGAACAAATGTGGCAAATGTGGCTGAACAAAAAAGGATCATATTTAATGGAAAAAAAATTAGCACTGTAATGGACAGATGCTGCCTTTTTGTTACATTATGTATATGTGGGTACTATATAATAGAAATCTAGTAGTGTTATATTAACTACTTGGAAGAGAGAGCATTAAATATGATTTTTTAATTTTGTAAAGTGTTACTTAAATTTATATACCAGCCTTTAGACTTTTCCTGTCTTGGGAGGGACTCATCCACTACTGTGATTAAAAGCTGACATTTTGTTAAGGAAGTGTATTATTTTAGAAGGTTTATTTCCTTGGTAAGCCTTAGGAGGCAGCCCAACCTCTTGGCATCAGTTTTTTAAATTTTTGCCACTACCCCAGGGCCAAAAATTCATAAAGTGCTATTTTATCACTGTCAGATAGCAAATACTTCATCCTTGCTGGAGCTTGAGCACTAAAAGTTTTAAATTGTTAGAACATTTGGTGAAAACCATCACATTATATTAAGGATGTTTTACAGGTATTCCAAACAGATACTCTGTAAAAGTGGTTTTCATAGACCCAGAGAGCCACACCTTTTTAAGAGCAGATTGATTGCTCAACAGAAGAGAATTCATGAGCTCCCTGGTGCTGGGGGCTTTGGAGGGTGGGGGGGATGTCCTTGTACAGCAGAGTGGACATGGTTGGGGGCATTTGGTAAGCTGCTTCAGTTATCTCCCCACAGAAGAGGGGGGGTCTTCACGTTGTTAGAGGATTCTATCATGCAGTCTTTAAAAGGACTGTTGAGGAATTTTACATGTTGTTTCATAGCATACTTCTATTTTTAATGTTGTGTTCTTTTATACTCTTTTACACTGTTTCCAGTTTTGAAAAGGAAATGTCCTCTTTCTCCTTGAGTTTGTGGCAGTGGCTGGGATCCACATGCAGAAATGGACAGGCAGTGTGTGACTGTCATCTAGGAGTGAAATGAAGACTCTCCACAGCTGTTAGCATCTTATTTTAATCCTTATCGTCTTCTTGTTCCCAGTTCTTGAGCAAAAGAGAAGTGTAGTCAATGGTCAGTGTTTTCAGATTTCTCAGAGACTAGACTCAGGTCAAATTCCAGCTCCTCTACCAGCTTCCCTGATTGCTTCTTGGACCTTAAGAGTTTCTGGGGGCCTGGTATTGCCAGTTACAGAATTGGAAAGAGTAAATGCCCTAAATGAAGTAGAAATGAAGTGCCACAGGAGATGGCTTGTGTTGGTGGCAACCAGGAAAGATTTCATGGAGGGAGCTGTGAGCGGTGAGGGGTATTTGGATGTGTGAGCATGGAGGCTGAGGACACTGGGGAACCAAGTACAGCATAAGGAACACCTTGTTAGGTGGGAACGTGCGATGTGTGTCTGGGCTGGAGCCTTGTGGAGCAAGAGAAGTTAAGGTGAAGTGGAGCGAAAGTGTTTGTCGTTAAGTCATGTCCAACTCTTGGCGGTCCTGTGGACTGTAGTCCACCAGGCTCCTCTGACCATGGGATTTTCCAGGCAAGAATACTGGAGTGGGTTGTTACTCCAGGGGATCTTACCAACCCAGCAGTTGAACCCGGGTCTCTTGCATTGCAGGCAGATTCCTAACCATCTGAGCTGCAAGGGAATCCTTGAAGTGGTTAGACACAAAAAGAGAGTTTTAAAGTGTCAGAGACCCTGATCCAAAGCATGAACCATGTTTGGCTCTCATTTCAAACAAACCAATTATAAAAAACCAAAAAATAAAATAAATCATTGGGGACATTTAAACACTATCTCTGTTTTTACTGATAGTAAGAAACAACATAAACAGAATTTTTAGGGGTGAAAACTGTTCAGTTCAGTGCAGTCGCTCAGTCGTGTCCGACTCTTTGCGACCCCATGAATCACAGCACGCCAGGCCTCCCTGTCCATCACCAACTCCCGGAGTTTACTCAAACTCATGCCCATCGAGTCAGTGATGCCATCCAGCCATCTCATCCTCTGGTGTCCCCTTCTCCTCCTGCCCCCAATCCCTCCCAGCATCAGGGTCTTTTCCAGTGAGTCAACTCTTTGCATGAGGTGGCCAAAGTACTGTTTTTCAAAGTCTTTATCTTTTAAAGCAACTAAAGTATTGGGATGGCCACCAGGCTTGTTCTGGTTTATCTGTAACAGCTTACAGAAAACTCCAAACGAATTTTTTGGCCAACCTAATATTACTTATGGGTGAAATAGAAGGCTATCTGGAATTTGCTTTGTTTTTATTTTTTTAATTGAAGTATAGTTGATATATACTGTTAGTTTGAAGTGTATGATATAGTGATTCAATATTTTTATAGATTTATGCCATTTAAAATGTAAATACAGGGTATATTCCCTGTGCTGTACAATGTATCCTTATAGCTTACTTATTTTATACATAGTAGTCTATAGCTCTTAATATCCTCTTGCCTCTCCCCCTGATAACCACTAGCTTGTTCTCTGCATTTGTAAGTCTGTGTTGTTTTATGGAATTTGCTTTAAAATAATTCACTGGGGGGAGAAAATGAGTTGGGGTGTGGTTAAAGCCAGATTAGCTTTGTGATGATAAGTGTTAAAATTTGGTGATGACTCAGTTAATTATACTATTCTGTCTACTGGGGTTCAATCCCTGTGTTGGGAAGATCCCCTGGAGAAGGGAAAGGCTACCCACTCCAGTATTCTGGCCTGGAGAATTCCCTGGACTGAATAGTCCATGGGGTTGCATAGAGTCACACGACTGAGCCACTTTTGCTTTCACTTTTCTCTGCTTTGCTAATGTTTGAAATTTTTTATAATAAAATGTTGGATTCTTTTGAAGTAATTTAAAAAAAAAAAAAAAATTTACAATAGAAAAGATGAGGTGGATTGAAATTGTGAGGACTGCGTGAATACCCTAACGCCATGACAGATGAGTAGGTTTTCTTTCCCTTTTTCTGTTTTGGCTGTGCTGGATCTTCATGGCTGCATAGGCTTTCTTTGGTTGCAGAGAGAGGGGGCTGCTCTTCGTT